AAGGCATTTTTAAAAAAGCAAATGTGAGAAGTTACTGCACACAGTAACCTGCAAATAAAAACTTCCCTCATCACTACAGCTGCCCCCAGATCCACAACTAAATATTTAGTTGTCTGGTACTGACAGTATTATGCAGTTTGGCTGTGTCCAGAGGGCTGAAACATCACACTATATAAATATAGTAAAAGATCAGAATAGCCCCATTTGATAGCAGCTGCATGTAGAAATATTTTAAATAAGTTAACTTTATTGAGGTATATTTTACAAATAATAAAAGGTTACAAATTTTGTGTTTGGATTTTGATGACTTTTGAGAAACATACGTCCAGTATAACCACCCACCCCAATCACGATTTGACACCTATCCAATACCACAAAAGGTTCCTTTGTCCTCCGTTGGGGGCAGTTCTCCTTCCCACCTTCTCCCAGACAAACATGGATCTGATTTCTGTGCCTGTTCTCAAACTTCATATAAATGGAACAACACAGTATGCATTCTTTTGTGTCTGCCTTCTTTTTTTATATGATGTCTGTTTGATGCCATGTTTGTGCATGTATAAACAACCTATCCCTTTTTGTTGGTGACTACTCTTCATCTTATGCCCATACTATGGTTGCTTGTGAATAGAATTCATCTGTTGTTGGGCATTTAGGTTATTTAGGTTATTTTCAGCTATTTTCAGCTTTTCAGGAACAACACAGTATGCATTCTTTTGTGTCTGCCTTCTTTTTTTATATGATGTCTGTTTGATGCCATGTTTGTGCATGTATAAACAACCTATCCCTTTTTGTTGGTGACTACTCTTCATCTTATGCCCATACTATGGTTGCTTGTGAATAGAATTCATCTGTTGTTGGGCATTTAGGTTATTTAGGTTATTTTCAGCTTTTGGCATTTTGAATGAAATTGGAAGGAACATATGTTTACACAGCTTTGTATTTTCATCTTTGGGGTGGAATTGCCAGGAGTCACAATTTAGGAATATCTTAAATCTATAATAAAGTAGCAAAACATTTTCTAAAGTGATTGTACAATTTTCCAGCCCCACTGACATTGTATGAATGTTCTGGGAGCTCCACAGCCTCACCAGTAATTGATGTTGTCAGTCATTTAATTTAAGTTGTACAAGTGGGTGTGTAGTATATCTCATTTTGGTCTCTTTGATGAATAGTGAAGTTGAGAATTTTTTTATTTACTTGTTGACCATTCATGAACCTTTTTTTCCCCATAGAGCATATCAAATCTTTTGCCCATTATTTATTGGGTTGTCAAGTCTTTTGTCAGATAAATGTATTACAAATGTCCTTGGCTTGGTTTTCCTTTGAATTAATGATGATTTTGAAGAACAGAAGTTTTTTATTATGATGAAAATTGAATTTATCAATTTATTCTTTTATGGGTAGTGCTGCTTGTGTGTTAAGAAATCCTTGAGTATCCCAGTATCATGAAGATTTTATTTTCAGTTTTATTCTTGAGTTTGATTGTTTTAGCTTTTTGTTTAGGTCTATGGTCCATTTCAAATTATTTTGTATGTGGGAGGTGAGGTAGAAATCACCTGGTTTGGATTTTTTCACATGCGGATATCCACTTGATCCAGTTTCATTTGCTGAAAATACTTCTCTTTCCCCATTGAGTGGTCTTGTCATATCTGTTGAAAAGCAATTGACTATATATGTGTGGGTGAACTGATATAATCTTTTCTGTTCCAATAATGTATTTCCCTATCCTTAAGCCAAAACAACACTGTCTTCCTAACTGTGGCTTTATAGTAATTGTAGAAATCAGATAGAGTGGGTCTTCTAAATTCATTCATTTTTTTTTTCAAAATTGCAGTCATTCCATCTGATAATACTTACCTTTCATTTGAAATACTTTCTGTAGTATTTCTTGCAGTGTACATCTATAGGTGAATATTTTATCAGTTTTTGTTTATCTGAAAATTAATTTTACTCTTTTTGAAGGATATTTTTTGTAAGATATAAAATCTCAGGTTGACAGTTTTTTTCCCTCACTGCTTTAAAGATGTAATTTCCTTGTCTTCTTGCCTGTTCTGTTTCTGATGAGTAGTTGGCTACATTCCTGTCATGTTCACTGTATGTAATATGTTGTACTTCTTTGCTTTCAAAATTTTTCTTTTGTCTTTCATTTTTAGTGGTTGTATTTATTTAGATTTATTTATTTAAGAGAGAGACAGAGAGGAGGAGGGGTGGGGGGGGAGGGAGAGAGAGAATCCACAAGCAGACTCCTTTTTGAGCATGGAGCCCGATGTGGAGCTTGATTCCAGGATCTGGAGATCATGACCTGAGCCAAAAACAAAAGAGTCAGCCATTTAACTAACTGAGTCACTCAGGCACCCCAATTTCCTTTGTATTTATTATGCTTGGTTTTGCTGTTTATCTTAAGCTTGTAAGTTTTTTTCTTTTTTTTTTTTTTACCAAAATAGGGAGATTTTGTTGATGTTATTTCTTCAACTTTTGTCTGCTTTGACCATTATTCCCGCTCCATTGTCTCCCCTCTCCTTCTGGACTCTAAATACATGTCTGTTAGGCCAATCGATCCTATCTTACAAGTACCTGAGGCTCTGTTTATTTTCAAAATTTTTTATTGTATGTGCTTTAGATTAATAATTTCTGTGAACCTGTTTTCATGTTCACTTACCCATTTTTCTGCCATGTCTAATCTGTTATTAAGCCAATTCAGAAACTTTGTATTTCAGATATTTTGCTTTTCAGTTCTAGAATTTCTATTTGTTTACATCTTACAGTTTCCTTTTCCCTGCTGAGATTTCCTATCTGTTCCGTCATCAAGACCATTTTTCCTTTAAGTCCTTAAACATTTTAATAGCTACTTAAAAAGGTCTTGTCTACTAATTACAACATCTGGGCCATCACAGGGTCTCTTTTTAAAAATAGTGAGTAAGGTTCACATTCACCTGCTTATTATTTGCATGTCAAATGCATGTTTATTTTATGTTGGACATTATGAGTGATGCATTGTTCGGATTTGGGAGTACCTGTCTTCCTTTAAAAAGGGTAGAGTTTGTTCTGTCAGGCAGTTAATACTGATGGCTGTTCTTATGCTTGTTGAGGTTTGATTTTAGTCTTTTTTAGGGCCAGAATACTCTAGGACATGGTTCTTATTCCAGAAGTATGGCCTTTTTCGTGTCTCAGTCAAATTCTCAAGGTATTTTTAAGATCTCTGCCCTCTGATCTCTCTACTTTCCCAGGTGAGTGTGACCTCTGCTATCTTCATTTTACTTGCAGCATCTGTATCAGATGCTCTCTGCTTCACTTCACCATGTCTCACCTTGCGTATGTACAGTCCACCCCTTGACCAAGGTCTTGCAAAAACAAAAAACAAAAAACAGATTTCTGGGGTCCCTTTCCATGTAGCTCTGTTCTCTCTGTGTTTGTCCTCCAATTTTCAGCTGCGTCACCAGTGCTGAACTGCAATGTGTGTCTCCTCAGCACAGCAAGACTGCTTTGTTTATGTTTCTCCTCCCTGTACTGCTCTCAGGAAATTGTCCACAGGCTGACAGGGCTCATCTAGGTGTGCATAGGGATTCCATATCTGTGGTGCCTGTTGGCCAGTGTCTAAAAACAGTCACTTCCTATGTTTTGTCCAGCTTTATAGCTACTTTGGGGAAGGCCACTCTGTCTTGGCCAGAAGTCTACATCTGGTAGAAATATGCTTTAATATGCTTTTGAAAGTTATTCCTAAGATTATTGGTTCTCAAACTTATGCTTATATTAGATGCATCTGGAGGACTGGTTTACACACAGATTGTTAGGCCCTGTCTTTTAGAGTGTCTGATTCAGTGGGTTGAGTTGGGGCCCAACAATCTGCATTTCAGATGTGTGTTCAGGTGATGCTGATGCTGATGGTCTGAGAACCAAACTTGGAGAACCACTTGTTTAGAAAGATGGATCTTGAGAAGACGTGTTGGACTCTATTTGGGATTTACTACACACAATTTTACCTTTTTTTTTTCTTTTGGTCCTATGTCCTGCATAACAGACTTATGTTTCAGTTGGTTTATTATAATGCATGCAATCTTGCTCTTTTTATTCAAATTATGAGTTTCAAAAAATTGTGGGTTTTATTTTTGCATTGTAAAAGGTATTCTCCATTTGACTGATAGGAACAGAAAATATGTAAGAGAGTAAGGTCATGAAATATTATCATTCTTATTTTTTTTTGCCTGTATAAATAATTTGATTCTTTCATCTTGATATGAGACTTTTGGAACATAGAGTTTGATAAGTTTCAGCAAGAAGTATGTGATTTTTTTTCAGAAATCGAGTTTTATTTTAATTATTCTTGGACCTGTATGTATATATGTGAGTTATGTGTGAGTGTGTTTTGTTGGTAAGATGCAAAACAGTGGATTGCTGGATTGCTGGATTGCTGGACCTGAGCCATATCTCTTCCTTGGGTTTCCTGAAAGCTTACACCATCCTTTACAGTTCTCAGGATAGCTGTTAATCTGTTACCTCAGCATATTTTGTCCACTCCTTTGCCTCCATTGTTCCAGTGGCTCCATCTCTCCTTGTTTGTCAGGATTTTGAAATTTATTGCTCTTTCACTCTCTCTAAAATCCGTGCATTTCCCAGTAGTATAAGGCTTGTACTGAGGTCAAACTGGTGACTCTTGATGATACTGACATGATTTTTGCAATGGCAACCAGGAGACGAAGTGCCCTCCCACCAGCATTACTGTATTTAGTACTTAGTTGGGAAAATTGATTGATATTATCCCTTCAAATTCTAATCAATCTCTGACAGATTTTTTTTTTTATTTACCAACTTTCATTCCTCGGAAAAATTGGTACAACAGCTTTTGGTGGTTAGATTAGAAGGCTCTTTGATGGCACATTTTAAATATTGTTTCAGTTGTAATGTATGATTATAATTTAAGTCTCAATTTCAGAGGTCTGTTTTCTAGTATTTTGATATAGGCATAGTGAAATACTAATTACTAAATACTAATTACTCAACAGGTTCATTTCGATGGCTGGGACCACAAATATGACTACTGGATGGATGCAGACAGCCCTGACATTCACCCAATTGGATGGTGTGATATAACAGGGCATCCACTGGAAATCCCATATCGTGAGTATTTTGTTCTTTGTTGTTGATTTTTAAATACTCAGCCTGAATTCCTACCTGAATGCAGTTTTTTTTTAATGTCATTGTAAGTATTTTAAAGCTAAATATCAGATAGGTGAATTAACTAATCACTGCTATAGCTAAACTGAAATCTAATTATTCAGTTAAGCTTCAAAGGGTATGCTTTATGTAAAAGAAAAGTTATAATAATCATTAAAAAATTATTTTGATAATGTTGTCTAGAAAAATCTTTATTTTCTACATTTCAGTTTGGAAAACTTAACCTGGTCTAAATCCATCTAATTTGTGCCATTGATTTTCACTGAAGTGCATTTTGTTTTTTTTAAACATCCCATCCTAATTTTGTTTTATAGATTTCAAAAAGTTTTAGAAGACACAAATATTTTAAATTTCAGCAGTTAAAAAAAACTTTAGTTGAAAAAAAGTCTTCTGTTATGTTGGTATCTTCATTTTTTTCTTCCTTTCTAGCTGCTTAAAGTTAAGGAGGAAATTAACCACTCTAAATTTTAATGAGCCTTGAACCAAAATATCTTATTCTTTTGTCTGAAGGATTTTTTCGATCAGATTAGGCTGACATGACTAATAGCCTGTTCCAGACACATGTGCAGGCACTGCATTCTTTTGTGTGCTTTGTTCCTCACTGCCTCTGTGGCTCTCCTGTTGGCTTCTTGGCATGAAGCTGGCACATTATGCTGTTAATGAGGTTGTCTTCCATTGAGCCAGCCCAATGATGCTTGAAACTCAGCTCTAAAAGGACGAACTGCATCTTTGAAGTAATTCCTTGACTTCTTATAGAAGTGAGAAGAGGTCCTGACTTAATAACTCAACAGACGTTTCTACCTTTTGTTAGGTACTTCAAAAACGACAAAAGGTACAGGTCCTTATGTAACGCAGAGTGCGTTAGCAAGCATGGCGTCTGTATATACAGAATGTTAAACCAGAAACGATGGTCAGCCCTGTGTTGGAGGGATGGTGTTAGTCTTTGTGCTTTTTTTCCTGATTCCACTTTTTACCCTGCCTGATTTTACAGTCCAATTTGTCAGAGAGATGTTTCTCATGTTATGTTAACCGTCCCTCTTCCCCCATTGACATGCACACATCCAACCTCATCACAGTAACATTCTCAAGTAGGAATGATCACAGTGGAGGTGGGGACGGTCAGCATTTCAGGGACAGGGAGAGCTCTCTTCATTCCGTCTCACCCATTGCCTGCTCTTTTGTGAAGCTGCCTATCCAGCTTCTTGAACTGAATGTCTCACAAACATTCCAAAGTCTGTGGATCAAGCTGAACTTCATCCCAAGCCAAAAAACTTGTCTTTCTACTGTGGTTCCTACTTGCTTTCAAACTTCCTACTTCCTAAGCAGAGTCATTCTGGACTTTGCTCCCTTTTTATCCCTTCCTCACCCGACACGTATAATCAGTGACCGAGTCTTAATGATTCTCTTACTTAATTGCTCCAAAATCTATCTCTGACCCCTGCCTGCTTCCTCCCAGTGCCATTGCATTTGATTTCTCATCATGGTTACGCAGTCTGCTAGTTAGTGAGTTGCACAGATCCTCCTGATAAGCCTAAGATAGATCTCAAAATTCAAGCTCTAGAGGCAATATAGCCTGCTTGTTAGAAGTGTGGAATCTGAAGTCAGAATGCTTGCATTTGAATCTCAGTTTTACTGCTTACTTAGCAGTGTGACTGCCTGTACCCATTTCCTCATGTAGAAAATGGAGATAATATTAGTGTGTCTATCTCAAAAATTTGTAATGATTAAATGATATAAATGCACACATAATACTTCAAAAACTGCCCAGCCAATAGTATGTACTGATTTAATGTTGGTTATCAGAAAATGATATAATAGTCTATAGACTTTCATTTTTATATGAAATTATGTGAATTATTAAGGATTAAAAAACTTGAAATTATGCTAAAATTAATGTGACTAGAGTTTTCCAAATATTTTAATTTTTTCTTCCATCCTTTCTTTCTTCCTTCCTTTCTATTCATTTATTTATATTTATTTATTATTGAGTTATAGTTGACATACAATATTATATTAGTTTCAGGAATACAACATAGTGATTTGACATTTATATACACTACAGAATGATCATGTTAAGCCTAGTTACTGTCTGTCACTATACGAAGTTATTACAAAATTACTGACTATATACTCTGTGCTGTACTTTGCATCCCCGTGACATGTTTTATAACTAGGAATTTGTACCTCTTAATGTCCTTTACTTATTTCACCTATTCTCCCAATTCCTTCTCCCTTAGGAACCACCAGTTTGTTCTGTATATTTATGAGTCTATTTCTGTTTTTTTTTGTTTTGTTTCTTTGTTTAGATTCCACATTTAAGTTATTTATGGTATTTGTCTTTATCTGTCTGAGTTATTTAACTCAGCATAATATGTTCCAGGTACATCCATGTTGTTACAAATGGAAAGTTTTCATTCTTTTTATGGCTGAGCAATATTCCACTATATATATATACATATATATATATATACACCACATCTTCTGTATCTGTTCATCTGTTGATGGACACTTGGATTGCTTCTGTATCTTGGCTACTGTAAATAATGCTGCTAAAAACAAAGGGGTGCATATCATTTTTTGAATTAGTGTCTTTGTTTTTTTCAGATAAATACCCAGAAGTGGAAATGCTGGCTAGTATGGTAGTTCTATTTTTAATTTTTTGAGGAACCTCCATACTTTTTCCATAGGGGCTTCACTAAATTTACATTCCCATCAACAGTGCATGAGGGTTCCTCTTTCTTCACATCCTTGCCAGCACTTTGTTATCTCTTGTATTTTTGATACTAGCCATTCTGACTAGTGTGAGGTGACATCTCATTGTGGTTTGGATTTCCATTTCCCTGATAACTAGTGATGTTAAACATCTTCTCAAGTGTCTGTTGGCTACCTGTACGTTATCTTTGGGCAAATGTCTATTGAGGTCCGCTACCCATTTTTTACTTGGGTTCTTTGGGTTTTTGTGGTGTTGGTTGCCTGAGTTCTTTATATATTTTGGATATTAACCCTTTACTGGATATACTATTTGCATATATCTTCTCCCATTCAGTAGATTGTGGGGTTTTTTTTATTATTATATTATGTTAATCACCATATATTACATCATTAGTTTTTGATGTAGTGTTCCATGATTCATTGTTTGCGTCTAACACCCAGTGCTCCATGCAGAACGTGCCCTCCTTAATACCCATCACTGGACTAACCCATCCCCCCACCGCCCTCCCCTCTAGAACCCTCAGTTTGTTTCTCAGAGTCCACAGTCTCTCATGGTTCATCTC